GTGCGGACGCAGTGCCCTGCGCGGGGTGCCCGTCTGCGCCCGCGGCGCCGCGCAGCCCCGGCCTGGCGCCTCCAGGTGTGGGTGCCACGGTGTTCCCACGCGTTCCTGCAGACAGGCCTGAGCCCTGTTATTTATTTAGCAACAGCATAACAGCCTGTCAACACAGCTCCTAATCGCCAGCGCCGTACAGACACTCCAGCCATATATTATTTAAACATACCCAATTCTATGATATAAGGAAATTCCATGGGAGCTGCTTATCGGTTCTTATAACAGCATACAAGATAAGCAGGCACGCTGGAATTTCCTCCTATCGCGGGGTGGCTGCTCGCCTGTCGGGTGCCACAGCAGATGAAGTTGAGGGAAAAGTGCTATTCGAGGGGAGGGATTTGCAGGGGGTTTGTCCTGGCCAGCCGCCACCTCGGGATGCTCCCAGAAACTGCCTTCCCACGCACCCAGGCATTGCAATGGCAACAGCAGCTTCGAGGGGATTCAAGTCCAAGGGGAGGGAAGTCCCACTGCAGACCTGCCAAAGAAGAGGCAGTTTTTGTGGTTTCTGCTCCTCTAAGCCCCTACCAGGTCCTACCAGGCCCTGCCACATTCCCCTGTGCTTCTCCAGGCCATGGCTGTGCCCAGCGAGGGTTGAGCAGCTTTCCAAGCTGCTGCAGTTTCTTGCTGCACCACATCAGCTTTGCCCTTTCTTGTGGCGTCTCGGAGCTGAGGACCAAAATGTCTCACTCAGGGGCCATGAATGACTGTCCACCTTCTCCTGAGTTCAAGGGCCTGCACACCCCAAGCTGCCTCTGAAATGCAGCCATCTCTGGGGCAGAGCAGGGTGGCCGGAGCTGCTGTGGGGACACGTTTTGGGGAGAACACCTCCATTCCCATCCCTGCATTGAGTCGTCATGCCATCAGGGTGTCCTCCCACTTCCAGCCCTCTGCCACTGTCCCCAAACACCAAGGATGCAGCCACGGTGGCATCTGTGCACTGGGGTACTGGAACCTGCTCTTGGTCCCTCTTCCATCCTCACCTACTCCCGTTAATCCCATTCCAAGATGGGGTCCCATCATCCGTCTGTGTGTCATGTGTGATGAGGGCTGCCATTGCCACCATTCCAGGGCAGCTCATCATGCTAAATCCCAGCTCCTGGTGTCCTAGGACCAAAGCAAACCAGAATGTTCTTTCTGGAGACATGTTTGCTGAGAGAAGCTTGGAAATACACCCCAGAAGCACCCCAAATGGCTCAGAAAACAGCTCCAACCATGCAGCAAAGGCTCTGGGCATCTAACAGGCATAGCAGACCCCCACACCAGCACCTTTTCTGCCCTGCTGCTTGGTGGTGCTCAGTGCCATGGGCAACAAAGTTTCAACATGGGCAAGAGAGGAAGGAGCAGCTGGCACCCAGAAGCTGCCACTTCTGCCCCAGCCTGCAGCTCTCAAAGATGCTTTTGTCCCGCGCGGGCCGGCCTCCCGTTACGTTGAAGTTGGACTCTCGTGTGTATTTATCCAGGCGTGCTGCACAAAGGGGGAAGTCAGCCAGTCCCCCGCTTGCTGCCCGAGCCCGCCAGCACCCTCCCAGCTACCCCCACTCGGGGCACCTGGAGTGGCCCTGTCACAGCGCTCTGCCTTTCCCTCCGTGACACCAGCCCTGGAGATGGAGGCCTTGTCCACGTCCCCGCATCCCAGCGCGGCCCCGTGTGCCTGGCAGCCTTGAACCAGCTCCAGTGGGTGCCCCACAGCTCCCAAGCCCACTGCCAGGGCCACAGAGGGTTAACGGGAGGCAAACGCACAAATAAATGCCTTTTAATTTAATTTTGCTTTAATATGTAAAACTGTTGCTCTTGGCAGGGTCACAACACCTCCTGCCAAGAGCAACACGTGGATTTGCAGAGTCAAGGGGCTCCTTTTAACGCAGAGGAGCAGCCATCCCTCCCCTCGACCCTGCACCGTGGGGTGGCACCCTGGGCACCCCTCCTCACCCCAGCATCCTCCTTGGCCCTGGTTTGGCACTTCACAGGATGCGCAACAGGCCCCAAGGCTCAGGGACCACCAGTGGGGACAGCAGAGGACCCACAGGGCTCTCCCCAGAGCCAAGGCCGTGTCCCATCCGTGTGCTGGCCACGCGGTCCTGGCCTGATAAGCCCGGGGACGGGCGGGTGGCAGGGAGGGCTGCCGGCGTGGAAGCCTTTGGCCAAGTTGTTGCCTCACGCCATGATGCCGGTGGAGAGCACCCTGCTGCGGGCGCCGCGCGGGCACGGCCCGGCTCTGCGGCGCT